CTGCAAGTGGGTCCACCCACATAACCGGCTCCAATGCAGCAGATTCTCCGTATTCTTGTCATTCTTGGATTGACTGTAATATTAGTTAATAAACTCATTATAATTATATTTGAAGTTGTACATAAACAAAATCAAGAATGTTATATATAAGGAGTTGTACATAAACAAAAAAAAGGATGTACAGAATGACAGATTACTTATCTTTAATCTATTTGATTTTATCAATTCTTAAATAAACAAAACAATGACAGATTACTTATCTTTAACTTATTTGATAAAATGTATAAAAAAGAAATAAATAACTTTTCCAGAGTTTATCCTTCTTTTCTTTACAATGATTACGTAATTATCAAATGGTAAATATACTACTTTTTTAATATAATTTGTTATTTAATATTAAAAACACAAATAAATAAAATTACATGGCTCTATAGTTTCAAATCATATTTATAATTAAATTAATACAATAAATTAATCTTGACACATTTTGATAAGAGTAAGAGATAATGATAAAAACATATGTTTTGATAAAAGTAATGGATAATAATAGAAATGTTTATAAACACTAATTTTTACATTGGAACATTAGCTCAAAAATTAATCACATGAAACAATTTGTGCTAAACAATTCTTTTACAACACATTATTAAATTAGATAAAGTAAGACAAGATTGCATATAAATCTAAAATAAAAATTACAATTATACAAACTTTATAATGCCATTCTCGGTCTAACAAAATTCCAAGCTTCAAAGAAAGCTTTTATCTTCGTCACAAGATATCTCTAAAATTTCATTATCCAAACGATACAAATGCCCGGAAGCTGATAAAAATTTATCTGCTAGCTTTTTTCGATGTGTCAAAATTAATGTCAACGAAACATCAACAAAAGCCCAAAAATGTTATCCACGCAATAAAAAACATTTTGTATTTGTGTTAAAATTCTTATTAAAATATTTGTATTAATTTGACATAACTTGATTCTGTTGATATGTGTTTTGTGTGAAATTGATATTTAACGCGATTCCTAGTGTTATAAAATAACACAATAATTATAAATAATATAAAAATAACATAGTTTTAAAACATAAATTCTAGAATAAATGAATGAAAGATGAATGTACATTCTAATTTAACAAATAAAAAATAAATTTACTGAAGAAATACGATTCCACAATTTATTTTCAAGTTGTATTAAAGTATTATTTTTTTGTGTTAATTTTTACATAATAATTGTGTTACTTTCTAATATATTCATCTTGTGTAGAATTAACATAAAAATTTGAATATACCTTTTAAGATGCGTAAAATGTATTAAATTTAACACAAATTTTTCCACTGTGCACTTGCATTTCATTTATTCCAATCATCATTTGGCAACGTCAAGAGTCTTCCGTTTACATTCTTATTCAAAATATCATATATGAATTATCATAATACACAAGAATGTACTTATATTTTTTAATTATCAGAAGATTAAAAACTATACATTTAATTGAGTGTTGAAAAATAAACTGAAAAGTGTTTGTTCCTTTATGGAGCGTTTCGGAGGGTTGCCTGCTCCGAATCACTCGGGATGCTTCAAAAAGAATGAATATATTCCGTTTTGTTACCTGCTTAACTAAAATAATGAATAATTTTCCGATATTCAGGAGAAACGTGGCATGAAGACGAACGCAATGCAGAAGGCAAGTTATAGTCTATCACAATCAAAGGGTAGCTTCCACAATGGAAAAAAATTGTTTATAAGAGAAAACCGCAATATGATGTTAAGTCGCGTTGCACAGATTTTTGTTACTCCAGATCCTCTGGACGCTGTACATCCGTCATTTCATGATACTATGAAAAGGAAACGTTGAGGCCGCAACAAGGCCGCACCGTTGTGACTACGTTGCCATTTTAGAACATCACACTGGCGCATGCGTAAGTAATTGGCAACGCTGTTTCTTCCCAAAATTATTCATGATGAATGATGACGATCATTTAGGAGGACTTTTAAAAGTATCACGGTATTTATCAAAATATGAAAATTTCATTAATTGTTGTATTATTACGTCTGGGTAACTTTGTAAAATTTGAACTCTTTTATTGGTTTAAAAGTTATTTAATTTTTTTTTGTTTGCCTGGATTCGTATGTAATATTGCGTTTTGTAGTAGATGCTTATTTGTAAATTTCATGAAAAAATAACTGCGATATAAGTAAAATTTTTATATATATACATACTAATAACCTCTGACAAATATATTCATGCAAAATTTTACGTTAGTCCACTTACTCGTTTTTAAAAGTTTATTTAATTAAAAGGTAATTATTTAGAATACGGGGCCTCACCTCCGATTTTAGGCCTGTTCTTTTTGACTGAACTTTTGCACCAGTTCATCTTTCTTCCTTTTCTCTCCAGGAGGAAAGAAGAGGAAGAAAGATGAACTGGTGCAAAAGTTCAGCTAAAAAGAACAGGTCTATTGATTAAATTGGGCTCATTCGACGCGTTTTCACTTCACTCATGAAAGAATCTGGAAAAAAAATGCGGCGGTCGGCCTCGTAAACCAAGATATCAAGGGTTAAAGTTTGAAATTTTAAGAGGTTAAGATACCTATCATTCTAAAATGATCGCGTTCCTCAAACTCAACTCGACTCAACTGTGCAGAGTGGATCTGTGAGCGTTCGCTACTATTGGTTAGTGATTTAAACAGGTCTAGAAGAATACACCAATAACAACGAGCGCGTACAGATCCGTTCCGCAAAAGTTGAATCTACTGAACGCGACCTATGTTTCGAAAATGAACATGCGCTGTGGTCGCGCGCGTATTCTGTAAGCAGATAAAATACTACTCTGCAGATTGCAATTTGATCATAATTGTAAAATGCCGTATTCAATAGAGCAACTAAACAAAAATCCTTGGCTTGCTGTCCAAGATGTAGTTGGAGATGCAAATTTGTGACCGAAATTTATACGGAAATTGTTCTGGGATCGTAATTTAACTGACCATAAACGAATGATTCTTGTCAATTTTGCATATTTAAAAGCAATATCGAAAGACGTTTTACATGACATCTTAGCTTTTACGTTAAAGAAAGCATATACAAGAAATCGAAAATATGAAATTCATTGCCGGTTTAATTATTTAAATCATGAGGTATATATATATATAATATCATTTTACCTTTAATTAATTCATAGATTGAATAATATATTATGTAGCATTTGTAACAATTTTCAAAATTTATAGGAATTTGGACGACAACGACGAAGTCGTGTATATAGCTACAGCGTTTATTTCCACGAAATGTTGGATTTAAATTTTAATCCATGTAAAAAAAATTAAAAAGGTATACATTTTTAATAACCTATTCTCTGCTTTAAAAATTTATGCAATATTATGCATATATTTACTGCTTTAAAAACAAAAATTCACTGCTTTAAAAATACAAGATTACTGCTTTAAAAACAAAAATTCACTGCTTTAAAAATTCTTTGCATTAGCAGTGAATTTGTATTTTTAAAGCAGTGCTTTTGTGTTTTTAAAGCAGCGAATTTGTATTTTTAGAGCAATGCTTCTATGTTTTTAAAGTAGTGATTTTGTGTTTTTAAAGCCGTGATTTAGTGTTTTTAAAGCAATGAATTTTGATTATTAAAGCATTAAATTTTTGTTTTTAAAGCATTGCTTTTGTTTTTAAAGCAGTGAATTTGTATTTTTAGAGCAGTAATCTTGTATTTTTAAAGCAGTGAATTTTTGTTTTTAAAGCAGTGCTCTCATTTTTAAATTCAAATTCTGAATTAGAGTATACTAATGCAAAAACTTATTACACTATTTCAGAACTAGTTCAGAATTCTTCGAAAAAGAACAGACCTTACGTATGCATAGCACTACAGCGAGTCAGAATGACAGGTATCTTAACCTTTAAAATTTCGAACTTTAACGCTTAATATCTCGGTTCACGAGGCCGACTGCCGCATTTTTTTTTCCAGATTCTTTCATTGTAAGTGAAAACGCGTCGAATGAGCCCAATTTAATCAAAATCGGAGGTGAGGCCCCGTATTCTAAATAATTACCGTTTATTTAATCAAAACTACAGCAAAATATATGATTATATTGTCATATTTTTATTTTTATTTGCAAAAGCCATTATAAATCAATTATTTGTTGTTTTGTTTTTTGTAGTTGGTTTCAGAGCGTATTCGCGATCAATATTTTTGGCTGATATTAGTTTTTTTAATTGATTTTTTTAGCTGATATACTTATTTATCTGTCTATCATTATAAGGACCGGTTGTTCTACCTTTTTATAAATTTTACCTGTTAAGTAAGAGAGTAACAAAATTATATTCAATCACATGCGCGAATTACCAGAGATTTACCTAATAGGTAAAATTTACCAAAAGGTGAAACAACCGGGCCTAAATGTCCAGTTGAAAATAGTATAATAATTTAAAACAGTAATTTAATTAATAAATAAAATGTTAAACATAAAACACCTTTAAATTAGTTGTTAAATAATACGTATAATAAATGAAATATTATATGATTGAGTGATACTCGACATTATCTCAATAGCAAAACAAACATGCATATTAAAGCTATCTTTAGCTAATGATTTTTTTATCTCATACAAGGAAACGAATTTTCTTGTTAAATTACAGAGAATGACTGCATTCGGCAGAGAAAGCAGCTTTGCAACCATTGTAAAATTCTTCGATACAATATATTTACATTTAAATCCATAAGGAATAAAAAGTAAGAACCAATCGTATTAAAAAATTTTACACAATTGCAAAGTTGCTTTCTCTGTTGAATGCAGCTAATGTCATTGACATTTGACTTTGTTACAAATGCTTCAAAGCATTTTTTAATTGGCCAATTAGTAAAATTCTTTCTTTCGATTAGTCAATCAAACGCTGGGAAATTTTGTAGCGTCAATAGTAAACCGCTTTCTATGGATACGCAGTATGGACACTCCGTATTTCGGAGCCACTGTCACTCAGTCACTGGCCGCTGGGAGCCACCTCCGATCAGCTGATATTTCCGCACGTTTGTTTTTCAGCTGACTCGTCCCCGGAAATCGGTGATTCGTGCGGGGTTAAAGGGGGGATGGAGCTCCGAACAACGGGACTTATCGTTGTTGGACTATACGAATTGTCGGTATCGTTCACTTGACGGTCGGTGCTCGACGCACAAACAGTATAGTACGACAGCAGCCTGAAGAGATTTGTCTAATACGCTCGAACGAGCGTTGTTCTTCATCATCTAATCAACAGAACGGCGTTACATATTATATTCTTCTTCGTTGTATGTGCAACATGAGTGTCCGGTGTACTGTTAGTGATTTTCCGAGCATAAATTGAGCCACATCTAATCGAGCATAATCGCAATGGATAGCGTGATAGTGAGTAAACTCTAACCTCGTGGACCATGCGCGTTCCTGTGTATTTTCATCCACCGTGATCTTTGTTGCACGGATAATCGGTATTTCTCTTAACAGATATCTCCTCTATTACCGTAAACAAATTAAAAATTTCTTTTTTCTTAATAATAGAAATAATTTTTGAAAAATCGTAACAATAAATTTAGATAAGCATTTTTTTGTAAAATTGTTTGTTTGGTTTTAATTGCTTGTTATTTTGTTATTATTTAATTATGAAAATATGTGACATTGGAAAGTAAAATTGTATTAATCATAATTTTGTAAAATCATAATATTTAATAAAATCATTATTAGAAGTTAATTCAAGATTATGATATTTCTAAATGCATTTAAGATAATAAATGTATTTTAACTCTTATTATATGTAATTAAATTAATTTTTTATTTTCAGGGTATAATTTATGCAATATGTCGAGGATTTGTAGACAGCTTGAAAGGTACCATTGTACTTTTCTATATGGATAAGCAAATTAACGAGAAATTGGTTGAGAAAACTTCCAATCGAGCAGAGCTTAGGAAGAGAGATGTAGTTATGTCAAGCCCCTCCAAGCATAAGCAACGGTGTCCTTATTATTTTCAAGAAACGTTTATGAGAGACAATTTTAATAACAAAATTTATTAGTCCATTCAATTTTAGGGAATCTAAGGTGTTGAGGAGAACTCTACAATGTTGTGCATTGAATGGTGGAGTGTTTTGGGCTAGTATACTGATATTCGATTTTGGACTTCTGCCATTTGTTAAGTACTTATTGACTGTTATATTCGGTCACTCTCCTGGTATGGGTCTTACTGTATGGTCATGGATCCAGCCATTTCTATCTCTTACATTTGGTACAATATGGGTACTACCACTGTTTTTACTCAGCAGAATAGTTAACAGTTTGTGGTTTCAGGTATAGTTTTTTATAAAATATAAAAAATGGTTTATTAAAACACTGAAAATTACATTGGTCTGCGATAAAAAATTATTTTAACAATTGTAGCTATTTTTTAAATGTATTTTTGTTTGCTGAACATGAATTCATTTTTTTAATTTAGCAAATTTTTTCAAAATTGTGACCAAATTTGGAAAACGGATTCGTGTTTAGCATCTAAAAAAACCTATGAGAAATGATTGCGTTCGTTGATTCGTTCTGTCAATAATCCTAAAATTCGCAGACTAATGTTACCACATCTATGTATAATATAATACTAACACAGTGTATTTGCAAATATATATAGGACATAGCCGATAGTGCTTACAGATATAGACAGGGGAGACCATTGCTTTTGTCAAGTGTAAGCAAGTTGATAGCTGACACGCTTTTTAGCGTATTAGTTCAAGCATTATTCTTGGGACAAGGAATGTTGGTGTCTAAAGTTCCACTTCCGCCATTAGGGGACATTCTTGCCCTTGTCCACATGTGCCTTTTATATGCTCTCTATGCCTTCGAATACAAGTGGTTCAACATGGGTTGGGAATTGCATAGACGATTAACTTTTATCGAAGGCAATTGGCCATACTTTTTAGGCTTTGGTATGCCATTAGCAGTACTTACCCAAATGCCCAACTCGTACTTTGTAAGGTACAAAATAATTCCTATAATTGTTATCTTCTAAGGAACGACATTTTAAATGTTTAAAGATAGATACCTATTTTTATTTAGCCAATTTAAAATCTCTTAGTAATTAAACTCCAAAAAAGTTAATATTAAAACTTATTCAATTAATAATTTTTCTTTAATTTTTTGTCATTAATACAAAAATGACGAATAGAATTTATATTCATCATGATATAATTAAAACTACGATAATTTTTAACGAATATTACATTACGATAATTTTATAAAACCTATGAATTTATAAATAATTTTTTATTTTTTCAGTGGCTGTGTTTTTTCCATTTTATTTCCACTGTTTATTGTAAGTGGAAACGAAGCAGAACCTGTAACTGGAGTATGGTATATTTCTTTTATATTATAATAATGTATATTTTATGATATTACTTATAATATTTAATCATGATTTAAATAATTGTTTCAGTGATTGCCAGCTGAAATTATTTTCTCCAGTAATTGCAATTGCAAATACGTTATTTAATAAAACTATCGGACGGGTCAATAAGCGGTGATAGTAAAAACAACGGAAGAATAAATGCCTAATTTATATTATTTGCATATTAGGATATGCATACCATTTACCAATTTGTTACAGAAAAGCTCATATGTGCATTAGCAATAATTATATAAAATAATGATAAAAATATTTGGGTATCTATTGTTCGTTCTTGCAGGAAATAGTATTAATTTTATTATTTAGATAGATTACAAAGTGTTCAGGAAGAATGCAAAAGGGATAAATTTATTTTTTTTGTTAAATAAGAGATTATACAGTTAAACTATAAATTTTTTATATTTCTTTCTCTACTAATCTTTATGAAATATGAAAAGAATATTTAATTATTTTTTAATTGAAATGTAGGACCAATCAGTACAAATATTTATTTATGCATATGTAATAATGCATATATAGCTTAATTCGTACATATGATTTCCTGTATTTAATAATATCACTGGTATACAAACGATATTACAAATCTGACTATATTTCTCAATTTTTATGAGAATTCATATTTTGAGCTTTTTATGCTGTAACTAGTCATTTTTCAATATCGATTTGAGATCTCCCATCGGCGCTGTGCTGTAAACGTATATTATAAGCATGTGCTGTAAAAATGATGCACTGTGTATGGCAGTTGATATATTTAAAAAAAACTAGTGATGATATAATCTTTATATAGAGTAGTTGAAATATTACTCCAATATTAAGGTAATTAATAATACAGTGCTACCATATATGATTTTTATATTCTTCCTTAGGAGTGTTGTATTTGAAAAAAATTTTTTTAATTTAAGGGTACATTATAGATAAGCGCCAATAGAAACATCTCGATTCTCAATCAATCTGTTGATTCTAATTATATATATATTGTGCCATACATATCAATTATATAGAGGATTCGTCCAAAAAATTCATGTAAAGTAAAAACGAACGAAAAATGTCATAATTGTATGATAAATCTTGCTAACAATACATGTAAGAATATTTCAATTTTGTATATGGTTAGGAAGGTGCACAAATGGTTACATTTGTCATATATTGATCATTTTATACATTACAATTTAAATAAATATAATAAAAATATATTGAAAAGCAGTGTTTATATTAGTAACTGTCGCAATAAATATAGTCTAGTTATTCAAATAAAAATGCAATAACTATTAGATGGTTTCACTATCAGAGTAAAAGAAAGCTAATAAATTATAATATAATTAATAAATTTTTTAGCTTAGAGATATTTTATTAGAATTCTAATCAGTTCCAATCGAGGATGCGTTATTCGCTATCTAATTAAAACGGCATTACAAATTATCCAGTACGAGCAAAAAGATAAGTTATTCAAGTTATTCAACATTACATTATTTAAATATTTTACAAAAGTTTAGTTAATTTGCAAACAATTTTTGCATTTAGAATATCTATGCATTGATCTATAAAATGTTTGCAAGTTCTTAAATTTTTAGTAATTTTATTGAGCGTTTTGCAATTATTTTTATAATATTTTCATCTTTATTTCAATTCGTTGAAAAATGTAAGGATCATTTCAGGATCAATACAAATAAGTTATTTATGTTCTATCTTTACTTATCACGACTCGCCAGAAGTTTAGATCCTATAACATTTCGACGTTTTTTTACATCACCAACATATTGTAGCAAAAAAAATTGCAATCAAAATATTGATTTTTATAGATGCCTTGTTAACTTTTTATTTTAATACAAATTGTTTGTTATTTGATATTACTAGTAATTATGCGAGGAGATCTTGAAGTGCTAATAGATCATGATCTGAAGGTTCTTCTTTCACTCTATAAGAATTTAAAGCATAATGCCTGTGTAATGCCGCAAAGCCTAATCCTGGATCAGTTTCTGTTTCTGTTACTGGACTTGTAGCTCGATCAACATGTAGGTGTACATGATTTTTGCTTACCTATAAAATATAATTTCTGAATAAAATAATGAATTTTTTGATACTGTTTTAAATTTCGAATTTTGTAAAATATATTATTCTATATAGATTCAAAATGTTTCTTATTAATTGCAAAGTTTTCCTTAAATTTGAAGCGAGTATATTACTTAAGAGAGAAATTGATAAAAACATTTAATATTATTTGTAATCCTTTATGGTTAAGAATAAATATAATAATTTAAAATGCTATGTACATACTTCAAAACGTTGTTGTTTATACATTGCCAATTTACGCGTTCCTGGAGAACTTTGGATTAGATTTTGTATAGTAGGATGAGAAATTCCAAAAAAATCCGCACCCTTTGGCACTATTGTACAAAGCACCGGAGAAATTGCTGCCAGTAATTTTGAGTGACATTCGTCAGGACTGGATCCGACTAATGGTTGATCCAGATCATTATCAGATACTATTTCAAATCTATAAATAGTAGTTATATGTACCTATGTATGCCTGTATTATAATTTCTTTTAGAAATAATTGTTTTTAGTTATATGGATAGTTTCATATACCTAGGTTTTGGACCACCATCTAATATCTTGCAGGTATATAAACTCTTTGTTCTTGGATCTCTCAAATTTGCGTATACTCTTGTACTGCAATAACCTACTGGAAATATAAGATCCTCTGTGTGATATGCGATTCTGTCCGATACCACATCACCAAGAGAATATATTGTAAGATCTCCCAAGGCTATGGGAAATAATGGCCTTCCATGTACATCCAATGGAATCAACTGCACCAATTTTCTGGCAGTTTTGTTATACCTTTTCGTCTTACTTTTCGATTCTGTGATAATTTAAAATTATAATTCTTATGTAAGAAAGGCTTATACTCATTGCATTATAAATAGTCCTTATTATATAGAGGCTTAATACATAAAGCTAATATTGACACTGGCTTATCAGACTTCGTAAACTTAAGGTATTAATTTTACAGCTAACAGTTATAGAGAAACCTGATCCATCTGTGGACGTTCTCTTCTTTACTGTTTTTTTGGGCGTAGTACATTCTGGGTTAAGTGATGGTGAATTCGCATTACTTGTTTGTGAACGAGCTAGACTTGTCGAGTTAGATTCTATCTCTCCCTGTTGTTGGCATAATTTACGTAAAAGAAACAGTCTTTCCTCTTTAACCAACATCAAATTTTCTTGCATATGTGCAACTTGATCACATAGTGCTGCGTTTTCCTGTATTGGAATTAGGATCACAATCCTATTGTATTTGTACACTTATACATTTAATTAGATATCAACATCCGCATATATCATATGTTAAAATTACATGTATCAAAACTCACAAATACGGTATTTTTCACGATCCTCTTAAGTTTTCGATATTTTTTCTTGTACTTTAAATTTTGCTGTAGCTCAGCATTTTTATGATAATCATTGTAATAACTATCATATGCTTGGGCCATATTACGTTTATTATTGTTAATAAAATACTGTGCTCATAAAGATTTTATTAATAAGATCTATGTTGTATAATGTATTGCTTCATGCATTGTAAAGGATCGTTTACAATGGTTACAGTGTGGTTAAAACGAAATTACCATTTATCCCTATCAAAATTATACAAAAATCCCTACAATTCCCTAAGTAAAAAGAAGGTAGAACTAGCGCGAAATTTAAAAGTAAGTGAAATCACCGACGAGATACTATTAAAGACAGTCAGCGTCTCTATGAAAAAGTTGCGTAATTGTTAAAATTTAACTGATTAAGAGTAAGAAACTGACAATATGGTACTAATTTCATGATTTATTAGTTTCGTAGACATATATATATATATGTTTAATACACTTAATAATACTTGATTTTTATTAAAAACTGTGATTTAAAATGTTATCATATCCGAGTTTGATTATCAATGGAGATAATAACTGCAAAGAAAAAATTGTAATTCTTCGGCAATATATAAGATATTATAGCATTATTAAAAGTATACGTATACTTATCTATTTATACAGCATTTATATTATAATAAGAAATCACGAATTTAATAATAAATTATCGAAATATTTAGGTTAATAATAATGAATTTTTATTAATTATCGATAATGTCGTTCTTCAATTATCCCCGGGTCTCCGAGAGGTCTCATTGATTGTCACGAATATTTGCCAGAGCCGATAGTCTTTAATAGCATCCGCACCGACGAGATTTTTAATTAATTATTATTAATTAAAATTATAAATTAATTGAATTAATTATTATATATTAGTTATTATTTTTAGTACAATATATGTATATTTTATTACATTTTTCAAAATTTGATAAAATGTAAAATTATAGAATACAATTTAATTATGCTCATAGATTCACAATATTTTACGTAAAATTACATAGAAAGTTAAAAATACATATAAAAATCAAATAAATACTAAATTTAGATTGTTCAGTTTTTATCGGATACAATTGCTACTAGACTTTAAATAAACATGAAAATTTTCTTAACAATCAAATATGTATTTTCAATTTGATCCATTACTTTTTTTGGATTAAGAATACAAAATATGACGTAAATGATGGAATTCAGCAATTCAAAAGTAACGAAAAGCAGGGCGTCAATCTTTTATTAAAAATATTGTGTACACTGCGAGAATTTTGTGTAATATAAAGTTATTACAAACTATAATAATCACTTATTGTAACGCAATTGAACTAAGATATTCATGAGCTGGGTAAATGCGTAATAAATTAAGCAAAAACCGTGCAAAAATGCAAAGAATATATTATTTTATTTACTTTGTAATATGCGCGTTAATATTTCGACAGTTATAGCGTATTCGATTTACTCGACCCGACTCAGAGTCAATAGTTCTGTTTAGCTGCAAAAGAAGAGCTAAATTGCGTAAGAAATGCAGCTAAAAAGAACAGACTGTTGACTCAGAGTCGGGTCGAGTTAGTAAATCGAATACGCTATTAGCGGTTGACGCGCGACCGTTAGAACCTTGGGAGTTTGATTTGCGCGGAAGGGGAGGTAGGCGGCGCGTCATGATTACGCACAGTTACCGCGCAGTCATTCCACTATCGAGATTCGTGCAGGTGGGTAGCCGTGCCGCTCTTCTTCACGTTTTTCTTTGAAACGTACTTGCGACAAATACTATAGGGGAGCTTTCGAGCAGAGAGACACAAATTGACACAAGAGTCATTCTGTTCTTGTTCAATAATCAGTAAGAAATAAAGACGGAATGATTCTTATGTCGATT